ATTCTGAGTTTGACCTGAAAGTTCCAGGTCTTGGTAAAAAAAAAAATCCCATTACCCTAAATGACATACAGAGATGTGGAACTAGATCAACCTTTTCCAGTGTCATGGGCCCCCTGGGCAGTCTGGTGAAGCCTATGGACCCCTTTTCAGAAGAAGATACATAGAATTACAAAGGAAATCTCTTACATTAAGCTGTGGAAAGATGACAAGGATAGAGTACCCACCCTTTGAAAAGTGAGTGACCTGGACAAGGACATACCCTTTGCAAAGTCTCATAAAATTTTTATTTTCTTTCATTGAAATCATGACAGTGCTGGGAAACCTGTGGGGTCTGGTCACTGGAAACAGAGTAGAAGTTACAATCTCCCTTTCAATAGCATGTCTCTACTTGGATAAAGTTATTCATGCTTTGCATTCCCAAAGCTCCCCCAAGTCAAAGGCAGAACCAAAAACAAAACAAAACAAAAATGACCCAAAAACAAATGGACACATTAAGAGCTGACTATCCAGGAGTAAAAGGAACTCCTTAGATTTAGAATCTGTCTCCAAAGAACTTCAATAATAACCATCTATTATTTGGGCTAATTAGAGGTGCTTATGAGTTATTGAAATGAGAGCTAAGTTTAATAAATTTGACTTAATTTAAACCAATTAAATTGTCTGTTCAACTCTTCACCATTTAGTGTCTATTTACCTCATTGAGTATCTTTTGCTTCCCATTTCTTTTTCCCAAGCTACTGTTTTCTGTCTTTCAACTGTCATTAGCATTGTTATTAATGGGGATTTAAAAAATCAGATAAACCTTTATCAAATACCTTCTAGGCTTAATGCTAATGGATAGAAGTGATTTCCAGGATAAGTAAAAACAATAAATAACCCCACCCCCCTCCTCTTATGGTAACTAGTTTTCATGTGGTTCTTTCCCAGTAGACATTACGTCCAACACTGTCATCGAGGGTTATCACCATATCCTCTGTGCTTGCTTTCCTTTCAGGAACCATATCCTAGAATCTGAGGGTTGGAAAGAGGTTCAGAGCCATCCAGTGCAATCCTTCCTACATAAGAACTCCCTGTACAATTTTACCTCCCCCCAAGTGTCCAGGCAGACTTTTAATTACATTCCACATGGGGAAGATGGAAGAAGGTTTCTCTAGAGTCAGAGACCCTGCATTCGAATCCCACTTTTGATTATAACTAAGTTATCTAGTCCTGGACAAATCTCAACCTTCCTTGGCCTGTTTCCTTAGCTATAAAACACAGAGGGGAAGGTTTCTGAAGTTCATTCCAGCTCTCAGGCTTTGATCTTATGATCCTATAAATAAAATCTAGTGCAAAAAAAATATTCATTAGGTGCCTAGTGTTTATGAGACATTTTGTTCTGCTCACTTGCTTGGAGACGTCAGAAGGTCTAGAGGGATAATTCAGATACAAACAACAGCAATTAAAGGTGCCCATTAATAATAATCACATTTATGGAGCACTATTTTTTACAAAGTGCTTTCCAAGCATTTTATCATCTGGGTCTCATAACTACTCCGTGGAGTAGGTGCCTTATCATTAGTAACATTTTATAGATGAGGAAACTGAGGATGACATGTCTTGAGATTAAGGTTTGTATCACTTTGTGTATTTGTAGCTCCAGCCCTTAGCACACTGTCTGGCACAGTCCTTAATAAATGTTTGCTGACTGACTCATTGATTACATAGAGAAATAAAAGATACAGAAGATACACAGAGCATTTATTAAACACTTACTATATGCTGGACATTTAGCTAAGTGCTAGGAATAGAAATACTAAGAAGGAAGACAGTCTGAATCCTCAAAGAGCTTACATTTTATGGGACTTATACATTAATGAGTTTACCTATTAATGGGGGTGGGGATAGTATGTAAAGAGGAACTGTTAAATAAAATTGGAGGAGGGGCAGTGGTAACTGCCTGGGGGCTTGAACTCTGGGAAGATAATGCAAAAGCTCACCTAGTGAACTTAGGGAACAGAGTCCAGCTTGGAAGAGGGGTGTGGAAAGGCAGAATGATGGTCCAAGTAGAGAAGGAATGACATGGGAATGGACTAGAAAATGATTTGCCCAGGGTCACACAACCAGCCTGATTAAAGAGCAAAATTCAATTCTTGCTGACTGGAACCTCAATTTTCTAACCACAGCACTACCCAGAAGAGGGAATATAGACATCCCGCCTCACCATAAATGCATTATTTCATGGGATCATTTATTTAGATATAGAAGGGACCTTATGGATCTCTAAGTACCTCTCCTGCTCTAAAGTCTGTGATCTCATTCATCAGTCAGCACTTTTTAAGTGTTTGTTGCTTTGAATTCCCATGTGCTTTGCAGTCATTTTGCCTTTAATTTCTATTAAAACAGAGAGAACTGAGTTTAAGGTGCATGCTGTCATAACTCTCCCTTCCTTACATCCTAGACAGTGGCTCTTTTGAATTAAATATTTGGGGTTCCATTCATTTTAAAATTACATTTTTCATTTCCACTCCTGTATCTTATTTCCCTTCCTTTAAGGCAATGCTTCTCTCCTTCCCCCTCCCCCCATACTCTCTTTCAGCACTTCATTCTCATGTTCTTTGAAAGCTATCAAGCTATCCATGGTTCCTGTGACCCGGATTTTCCCTCCTGTCTCTTCTTTTGTACTGTTCCTTATAGGCCCTTGCTGTTCTATAGCATGGCAGAAGAGCAGTCTTGTCCAAGTGGGATAAATGCTCAGAAAAGACATGCTATGAGAAGCAAGTTAAGGCAAGTTTGGGACTCAGTGTGACTTCCTTCTTTGCTCTCATGGTCTTCCTTATTCATGCCAAGAATTTCCCAGAAGCAAGTTTTCTAGATACAGTGCCCACTGACTCAGTTTCATTTTTCAGACTCCTATATTTAAAATTGAAATCCATAAATTTGCATATGGAAAAGTTAGCTAGAAAGGATTTTAGTGGTCTGGTCCACAGCTCTTATTTTCCATTGAAGATAGCTGGGACATATTTGGGGCAAATGGAGTGTATTTTATTTTTTAAAATAAATTTTATTGATTCCTTTTCCTTTTTCATGATGGATCATATTATTGTATTGTACTGTCTCATTTAGGTATTGTATTAGACCTATATCATACATGTATTGTACTGGATTACATACCTCCAGCCTACCTTCCTAACATTGCACCCTCAATTAGGACAAAAAAATGATTAATCAAACAAAATTAATCTGACAGCATGCTCAGCATTCTGGCCTAATAGCCCTTCTCTGAGTGGAAGGATGTATATTTTATTATCGTTTTTGGGGGGCCAAGATTGGTCATCATAGTTATACAAGAGTTTAGCTTCCTTTTGCTGTCTTTTCATTTAATTTGTCCTGTAGATAACTCATTTTTTACACAGGTGTTTGCATATTATCTTCCCCATTGAATTGCAAGCTCTTTGAAGGAAGATCTGTCTTTGCCTTTCTTTGTATCCCTACTACGTAGCACAATGCCTGGCACATAGTAGGTGCCTAATCAATGTTTACTGACTGACTCCTGTGAAGCTCAACAATTCACCTGTAACTGATCGTTTCTGAGAGTTGCCTAAGAACACTTAAAGGCTATCGATCTTGGCCTTGGTCACACACCAAAATGTGTCAGGGGCAGGACTTGAATCCAGGTCCTCTTGTCTCCAAGGCCAGTTTTCCCTCCACTACACCCTGCCCTTCCAGCTCACGCCCCTTAAGAGAGTGACTGTGGCCATTTTTCTCCTACTTCTACTTCATGGACTGCATCACTTCAGGAGATTCTTCCCACATTCCTTTGAGTTCTTCTGACTCATTTCTAAGTGCACATTAATAATACTCTTTTGTGTCCCTACGTCCCAGTTTGCTTAGCCATTCTGCCATTGATGGAAAGAAGCCTTTTTTCTTTTGCTTCTAAAACTCTCTCCCCAGGTTCTTCCCTTAATTACTATAACAAATATTTTCACTGTCATTTCCTCAATAACAGAAATAGCTCTCCTTTTCAATAACACTTTCAGGTATAAAAGTGTTTTCATAGTAATTTTTAGGACATAGGCAGTATAGACATTAGTGTGCCCTTATTATAGAGGGGGAAATTGAGGTCCACAAAGGTGAAGTGATTTGTCAGAGGTAATCCAGCTAATTAGTAGCCATCAGGATTTAAACATTCATCTCCCGAGTCAAAACGAAATTCATTTTCAATTTCACTTTGTTCAATTCTACTTAACAGATATTTATAAAGTCCCAACTCTGTGCAAGGCACTATTCTAATTACTGGGATTAAAAAGATGAACACAAAACTTTCCTTTCCCTGAAGGTGCTCCCTTTCTTTTGGGGAAAGAGCCTGTGTATAGATTGGTGGGGCCAAAATAGGAACCGAGGCTTTACAAAGTACTTTTAGAGAGAGTGCTAAAACCTGACGTGACCTAGGAAGGCTTCCTACAGGAGGTGGTGCGCCTGAGCTGTCCTTTGACAGAAGCTAGTGATTCTGAAAAGTGAAGGCAATGAAGGACAACACTCTAGGCATGGAGGACTGTCTTTGTGAAAGGGCAGGTGTTTTTTAACTTAAAATATTTTTTAAATTTACAGAAAATTAAGAATTAATGTGCCATTCACTATTTTTGTTGAAAGGAAGCATTTCTATAGGTTTAAGGTTGACTTATTGTTCAGTCATTCTTCAGTCATATCCAACTCTTTAGGGTCTTCTTGACAAGGATACTGAAGTGGTTTGTCATTTCCTTCTCCAACTCATTTTACAGATGAAGAAACTGAGGCAAACTGTTAAATGACTTGGTCACACAGGATGACACAGCTCATAATTGTCTGAGGCTAGGTTTGAACTCACGTCCACCTGAGTCCAGGGCCAGCACTCTATCCAGTGCTCCACTTAGCTGCAAAATACTTCAAATACATTATCTCAGGTGGTGACCTACATAAGAGAGTCATGGGATGAGTGAAGCTCATTTTCAATCATTGCTTTTATTTTCTTCTCTCCACAGATGGAAAGGTTGAAGTTACCAAAGAGGGGGTGAAGCTGTGCACTATGGGACCAGGCAAAGTCTTTGGAGAACTTGCGATTCTATACAACTGTACCCGCACAGCCACCGTTAAAAGTAAGACAATTTTCAGTGTCTGGTTAATTTCAGTGTCGTTTATTGTTGATGTGAGCACCACATTGGATCTTGACTCATCAATTGCTGTGTTTCAGTTTCATCCTGGTGATATGAGGAGAATCATTGGGTTTCTGTGCCCTGTTTAACAATATAGAATTTAATTTTACTTTTTTTTTTTTGGCTCTCGTCCAAGTTTCCTATCTATCTCCTCTTTTGGCAAATGAGAATTTGGGAACGCTATGTACTTTTGGGATGTCATAGATGTACGTCACTTCTCTAACGGTCATACCTCATATTACATTGATTCAATTCTATCTCACACAGCTTTTGTCCATGTCTTTCCACAAATCCACCAGAGAGAGTCCACCTAAGGAACTGTAGGTCTTTCCCCTAAGTCTTTAAAATTCCTTCTAAGTGAATATTGAAAACCATGGAATATTTACCCCCCAAAAAAACGACATCTGAAAAAGGTAGGGTTTCCTCTCCTTGTCTTTATCTCTCGGGAAAACATGTAAGAAAATTCACCACACATTTCTGTATTCCTCTTCTCTCTTAAGATTTCCCAGGTAATATCCTTTTAATCTAATGGAAAATGAAAGTTATCAGGAAAAAGGCCCTCATCGTCTCATTAAAACATCACTGAGTGGGATATATTTTTAAATTCTCAATGTGAATATGAGCATAATCTGCTCCTCAGTTGGTCATCAAGCTGTATATTAGGCACATTCTTTCTTTTCTATGGATTGAACCTATTTTAAAATCTGAGCACTAAAGTGGGACATTTGTGTGTATGTCTATAGAAACTTGTCACCTCCTTGAAAACCAGCTGTATCAAGTACAGCAGCTACATAGCTTGTTTTGTTTCCAAACCAGTATTCTCATCTAGTCTACAGTATGCATTCTCTCTCTGTCTCTCTCTCTCTCTCTCTGTCTCTCTCTCTCTCTCTGTCTCTCTCTCTCTCTGTCTCTCTCTCTCTTTCTCTCTCTCTCTCTTTCTCTGTCTCTCTCTTTCTCTGTCTCTCTGTCTCTGTCGCTCTCTCTCTTCTTCTTCTTCTTCTTCTTCTTCTTCTTCTTCTTCTTCTTCTCTCTCTCTCTCTCTCTCTCTCTCTCTCTCTCTCTCTCTCTCTCTCTCTCTCTCTCCTTCCTCCTCCTCCTCCTCCTCCTCTCCTCTCCTTCCCTCTCCTTTGCTAAAGGGCACTCTGGAATAGCCCAGTGCAAAACTCCAAATGAAATCATATAGGGACCCCAATTTCTTTGTATTAATTGGAGCAAGTATTAAGGTCATAAAGGATGTTGAATCATATAGGTGAAAAGACCTGTCAATACTTGCAATGCCAATGGATTATGATGGAGTATTATGGCTAGGAAGGAAACATGCTATAATCTATAAAAGTCACTTAGTATATATTGTTGCGAATGAGTTCTATTCATTATACAAATTGGCTAAGGATCTCTTGATTATTTTTCCAGCGGCCCATTTCAGATAATTTGCAGTGTATTATGGTTGTTTAACTGAGATTACCCAATCTTATTGAGCCTGAATACTGACTCTTTATATTATACAATTACCTTGTCCGAATTGATGAATTGAGTGACATGAAGAAGGGTCATCATTTAAATTGACACAGTGCCACTCCTCATTAATGTGTCTTGATTCCCATGATCATGCAGTATAACTAGTGGGCATTTATTGGTGTTGACTCAGTGGTTATTTTATAGTTTTTTTCCTCCTTGGGAGATCAAATATTAGCTTTAAAATCATAAGCAGTTTGGAATCCTTCTGTAAAAATATTAAGAGAATTTTTGTAACAATGCAAAGTCTAGCAAAAGTAGTTGATAATGCTGTAAGATCAATATTTAACTTGCTCATTCATTCTATAATCAAGCCAAGTGATTAGTAAAATAATTTACTGTAACCTTTATCCAGCTGAGGAAAATTCAACTCGAGAAAAGTCATCAGGATTCTGTTAAGTGAAATTAATTTCATTCTGATGTTCCTTTTCCATCAGAAATGTGTACATTTTTAGGTGAGAAAATGTGAAAAAATGAGATAATTTGATAAAAATAGAAATATTCTATGGAGAGTAGAAAACATGGTGAAAACACATTTTAAAATGTTCTATATATGGCAAATCTCTTGTGTCGCTCATTGAAATCTGCTTGATGCTGCAACAACATATTTTAAAAATCAACTGTTACTTAGGGTCTGAGTACTAATTTTAGATAATAGATATGTTTCTGATGAGTTTGGCATAATGTATATTTTTGTAGTGAACAGAGCACTGAATTTAGAGGTAGAGGTTCCAGAACTGTTTTCTATTTATGTGCTAATCTTGGGAAAATCAATTCACTTTTTCTTTGGGGGCCTTTAAAACAATCCTTGAAATGAGGGGATTGAAATAGATAACTTCCTTAAAAATATTAATATCTTTTGTTTAAATCATTTACATTTTCTTCTGTATCCCTCTCCTCTAACCCCTCACAGAGAGCCATCACCCCTTATGATAAAGAATTTAAAAAGTGGGGGAAAAGTTCAGTGAAACTAACCAATATATTGTGGTCTCAAAGAAGAAATGTTGAGAAGACATTTCCCTGGCTGCTGCGCTAACATCATGGAAATGGGCATGACATCCAACTAGGAGACATATTGGTTAGTTTTGCTGACCTTTTCCCCCTACTTTTTTTTTTCCACTTGGCCCAAAAAGTGTTTGAAGATCCCACCCAACCCCCAGCTTCTTTACAGAAGATATGAGCACCGCATTGTGGTTTAGATATACTGGCATCATATTTGCTCATTCTAAATTCACAGCATTTCATTCCCATTGTTTTTGTTGTTAGTGTTCTTTCCTTTTACATTATTCTAATCATTATGTATCTTATTTTTCTGCTTCTGCCACCTGCAATTTGCATCAAATCATATAATTTTTGATATGAGAGTTACACATTTGTGTAACTGATCAATGTTGTATAAATGATCAATGTTTGATCATTCTCTGCATTCATCATTTTCATAGTTTCTTACTGAGACAATTCCATTAGCTTCATATGCCACACCTTGTTTATCCATTCCTCAATCAATGAGCATCTTTATTCTATTTGTTTACTACTATAAAAAGTGCTACTCTAAATATCTTGGTGCTGTATGAGGCCATTCTCTTTGACATTGGCTCCTTGGGGCCCATCCTTAAAAGTGTCATTTGGAAGTAAAAATTTATGGACATTTTGGTCACTCTCATCACATAATCTATTTGGTTTTCAGAAGAATAGATGACTTTTGTTGACTTTGAGAGCTCTAAATCCTAGAATGCTAAAATGTAACAAAAAATGGAAACACCTTAATTTAGTTCAACATGTATAGGAGGATGCTTTTGTAAAGGACTAAATTACTGCATAAATTTATGAAAAAAATATATTGCCTCATGCATTGTTTCCCATCCTATCGAAATGATTGCAAAATTATCATGAGGGGTCCTCAAATATCTATCTCTATCTATCTATCTATCTATCTATCTATCTATCTATCTACCTATCTCCCTACATACCTATCTATCCCAAGCATGGTAGTTTTGGTCTTCATTTCATTCCAAACAAAAATGTGTGGTGAATGTTTGGGTGTACAGCTCATGGGCCTGAAGAAGTCTTAGGGGAAGGCATGGCACAGTAGCTATTTTCAAATATTTGAAGGGCTGTGTCATGGACCTGTTCTCTTTGGTATTCTAAGGAATGGGTGGAAGTTGTGAAGTGGCAAATTTCAGCTTGATGCAAGAGAAACTGTTGGAACAAAGTGAGCTCTCAAAGTGGAAAGGCCTATATCAAGAAGTTGTAGAGTTTCCCTGGTTGGCAACCTTCGAGCAAAAACCAAATAACCACTTGAAAGGGATTTTGTGGAAGGGATTATTGTTTGGGAATGTGTAGGTCAAAATGGCTTCCAAGGTCCCTTCCAACTCCAAAATTCTGTGATAATATGAATAACTGTTGTCAGGAAAGATCCTTTGAATGCCATGGCAGTGAAAGGATGTCCTGATCATCTAAAAGCTTGGCAATCACTGTGGTTATACAAGAATTGAATTCATATCTTAGGGTTATATAAAGTGAGATTTATGTAGCGTAGGGTTACACCTGTGTTAGCACATGGCACTTGAGTTTTGTTTTCTGACTTTCACTAAGAAACTAAAATAACAGTAATTATGCCTCTTACTCTGTAAGCACCAACAGGGCATGCCATCAAAATTAGAACACTAAGGAGTGACTTCAATGTGATTTTCATTTCACAACATTAGCTAAATATGTGGGTGGCAGACAAGATCACTGCAAGTGCAATGGTGGGTGACATCGCTATTTGTCATAGGAATAGATATCTGGAGAGAGAAGTGATTTCAGGAGCTGTTAAGTCCAGCCCCCTCATGTTACAAGTGAAGAAATTGAGGAAATACAAAAGTCAAGTGACTTGCTCAAGGTCATACAGGTAATAAGAAGCAAAGCTCTCATTCACAACCTCTGTAGCCAAATCTGATCTTTTCTCTGCTGCTTCATTCTGGAAATGGCATTATCATTTCTGAGTCTACCCTAGCTCCAGGAACCTTGAAGAATTGTATTGTTAATTTGCTTAATCTCATTAGATGAAATCACAATGTAATAAACCTACAGACCTAATAGCTCAAGAATCAAAATATTATTGAGACATCTGAATTAAGGAAGCTTTTGAATGTTATCTCTTCTTGGGAAAACACTAGACTGACAGGTGCAGGTAATAATGAAGATGTTGTTACTGAGAAACTGAAATGAACACCTTGTGCCTTCAGCAGTAAGCCTTTGCCGCTTCACCTGAGGAAAAACCAATTGTCAAAAAAAGGAAGTTGGTCTCAAATGAGTCAAGAGTCCCTCAGATGGTGGTTAAATGATTTGAAAAGAAAAAGAGATCCCTGCAATTTTTATTTAAAAAAACGGAAAAAATAGTGATTATGCAAGAGGTGAGGGAGATCCTTAAAGCCAACTCACAA